GTGCTGCAGCTTTTCTTGTGAGTATGCCCACTGCTGATGCTACGTCTGGTCTTGTCACAGTGGCAATGTATAGTAGCTTTTCAAGTGCTCTGCTGTACATGTAATTGTTGGGAAGCAAGTTTTTGTTTGCTTCATTGCTTTATTGGTAGCCTGGTTCCATAGGTGTTTTTACTTCCTTTGCATTTTGTTCCAAAATTTCTGCAATTTTCTGACTTTGGTTGATAAGATAGCTTCCATCTTCTTTGCTCTCTATTTGAATTCCCAGATAGTGACTAATGTTCCCTAGCTCTTTGATTTCCAAGTTTTGTTTTAGTTTGCGAACTATGATGAATGCAGGAATGTAAATGCATGAGCTAACCATTTTTGTCTAAACTGTGAAGCAGCATTATATATGAATCATGTGCATGATTTTTACATATATGGCATTAGTGGAAATATGCTTTTAGAGACTTTTTGGTTGATAAATACGTTTTGCTGTGTGAAAATCACACCCACCTGGTGCGTGCGTGTGTTAAGGTTAGTAAATCACCCCCTATATGTCTTACTTTGTTCACTATAGCCCACCAGAATACCTCCAATGGCTGTGTTCTCCAACTTGGATCGCTTCTCATTTGGAATATAGGCGTAAGCTTTTACATCCAAAGACTCTAATGTGGCCTAGGCTAGGCTTTGATCCATTTCACATTTCAAATGGTTTGCTTTTAATGGTAGTCTGTTCTGTAGGTATGTTGCAGTCATGACTGCTCCTCCCCAGTACTTGTTGGGTAGGTTGGCACCTGACAGCATGCATCTGGCCATTCACTTTCTCATTCCACATTCTTGTAGATTGCTTGAGTCCGTAGATGCTTTTGTAGGTTGGCATCTGGCCATTCACTTTATTCCACATTCTTGCTGATTGCTTGAATCTGTATAGATGCTTTTATGGAGTTTCTATAAGAGTGCCATTTTTCCGTTCCACTACACCAAACCATTTTGTTCAGGAATTAATGGTGTGGTGGTCTGGTGTACTATACCGTTTCTTGAGATATCATTCCATTTCCTAACTGATGTATTCCCCTACGTTGTCAGTGTGTATAATTTCTGGTTTATGTTGAAATTTGTTGCTAAACATGGCTCTAAACTCTTCAAGTCAGTACATATCTGTTCCCGCCTCATGTGGGAGTTTTCATTGGTCCCCACACATCGCTCTGTATGAGCTCCATGGGGAGGGTTGTCTTTCTATGAGTGGCCTGTGGAAGTGGAGTACGAGTGGCCTTTGCATGTCATTAACATTTGACAAGGCAGTACGGTTATATCTTCGGATAAGACTCTCCTTTATAATATCTCTTATGGCTTCCAGGTTTCAGTGCCCTAGTTGTCTGTGCCATAGGTGGATACATTTGTTGTGTGGATTATGAGTGGCTGTCTTGACTTGTTCATCTGCGGTGATGAATCTGTATAGGTGTTCCAATTTTCCTTTTGCAAGGATTTGCTTATTGTTTTAGATTGTACATTTATCACCTCGGAATTGACCTGTGAGACCATTATTAGCAAGTGCTTTCACTGATAGAAGGCTTCCTTTTAGGTCTGGGACATACAGTAAATTTTTTCGCGAGGTTACTCTGCTTGTCCCCTGACACTGTGATGCAGTTCAAGAATCCTTGACTGTTACCTTCCGCAGTAATACCTTTCCTGTTTGCTAGGAGAACTTTGTTCTTTGCACTGAAATCAAGTTCTGTGAAGAAGGTCATGTCATTTGTTGCGCCTGTGTCAATACAACATCTGCATGGTGTACTGTTCTGAGTCACTTCATGATGTGCCTGCAGTTTCCTTTGTAGCTGCCTTAGTTCTTTCTCTCGTGGGTGCCTCTCGCTGCTCGGCTTCCAGATCGAACAGTCCTTTTTCAGGTGACCAGTCTTTTTACAGGTAAAACACGCTCTGCTTCCTTTTGCTTTGCACTCTCATGCACCTTAAGGGCTTTCTTGTTTTCTTTATTGTGCATATTTTCTTTCCTTTTATCATATTCATCGATTAATTTTCCTTTGACATATTCTAGTGTTAGTTCCTGCTCAGGTCTGGTTTCTAGAGCATTAATACGAGCATTGTATAACTCTGGAAGGCCGCATAGCAGTAATGCCACCAGGTGGTTATCTTTAATTTCCTCTCCAATTGCGTGTAGTTGTTCTATGATTTCCAGCATGGCATTAACATGTTTACACATTTGATGGAATTTTTCTAGCTTCATCTTATATAGCTTGTGTAGCAGATATAGTTTACTGTTTAGGTTTGAACGCTCATACAGCTTTTGTAAATGCAGTCCACATACCTTTAGCTGTATTTTATTTTCTTATATGGATAAGCTGGTCGTCTTCCACTAGCAGACTTATCATTGCTTTTGCTTGCCTGTTCTTCTTGTCCCATTCCTCCCCAGGTCCATTGCTGGGTCTGTCTGTACTCAGTGCTTGCCACAAGTCATCTTTGCTTAGCAGCATTTCAAGCTTGAACTTCCATAGCTGGTAGCTGCTATTGTTGAGCTTTGTGATTGCAAACTTCATATCTGAACTACTTGCCATCTTTCAGTAGCTTGGATGCACCTCTGGTCAACTTACTGTTCTGTTTACTGCCTGAGCCCATAACCTGTTGGTGTTGTGTTTAGATGAAGCACTGAAAACTTAAGGAATGCTGAGTTAAGTTTCACTGGCTTAGTAGAATATTACATCAGAATACAGCATACTGAGAGAACTTCCTGTGTATATCATAGATAAGCATAAACATACAGACTAGCATTGCACTACAGCGCCATCTACAACTCAAAAGACATAACAGTACATTAGCATATGCTTTTGCATTTACAACAGTGATCACTGTGAAACAATCACAGCTCCATGTTTTAATCCCCTCAATACCAGAATATTTCTTAATTTCCAAAAATGTGCAGGAAAAAAAATCATAGTGGAGTGTCTATTTTCCAAAAAGGGGTCATTTCAGGGGTTTTCATACTGTCCTGACATTCTTATTTGCCATCATTTATAAATGAAAGTAAGAAAAACTGTGTTTTTTTTAACTGAAAGACTTAGTTACATCGTAATTTAAAAAGCGGTTATTAAATACCAAAAGAAAGCTCCATTTGTCCCCAAAAAATGAAAAAAATTATTTTGCCACACTGTTGCGTAACAGAGGAATTCTCAGCCAAACTTGCACAGCGCTAAAAACTGAGAAATGGCCTGGTAATGAAGGGGATGTAACATGTCAGTACTTGAAGTGGTTCAAGTACCACCGACCACCAATGATTGTGAGAGGTTTTTATGGGTGGGGGGGTTTAAGGTGCTATTGATCACCAATGACTGTAGGATTGTTTTCCAAAGGTACAGAAATTAAAGGCGAAAGCAAGCAAACCCCAATGTTTGGTCCAAAAACCCAGGGCTTATTAAATGCCACCAGAAAAAAAGCGCTGTCATGATATAAATTTTATTTGTGCACAATGTTGTATAAGTGAGAAAATGTCAAAGTATCACAGCACTGAAAACTGACCTAGTAATTAAGGGGTATACACAGGCTGGACATGTGGCAGCCTCCAAGTAGGTATACACAGGGACATACTGTGTATGTGGCAGCCTCCGAGTGAGAACACAGGGACATATATGTGGCAGACTCCGAGTGAGAACACAAGGACATATATGTGGCAGCCTCCGAGTGAGAACACAGGGACATATATGTGGCAGCCTCCGAGTGAGAACACAGGGAGATATATGTGGCAGCCTCAGAGTGAGAACACAGGGACATATATGTGGCAGCCTCCGAGTGAGAACACAGGCAGTTACGTGGGCAGCAGGAAGCTTAATAATCACTCAGACATTTTACTTTTCTTTCAGGCTGCTTTCCAGGGCCCCCAACTCGTTTCTCCTGCAGTCCTCCCGTGTAGATGCCCCATCATCTTCCTCCTGTGTACATCCATTGGTGTAGCCCTCAATCTCAGTGTCCTGTCCATGCATCCCTCCCCATCTCCCGTCCAGGCAGCCCCCATTTCCCCTGTAGCTGCCCTTATCCCTTCCCATGTAGGAACACCCCCCTCTACCCCATCGGGTAAACAGGCCATGTTGTGCAGCAGAACTAGGGCAGGTGTGTCCTCTATTAGGGTTATATAACCAACAGACTGCCAGCTACTTATAGCAACAAGGAGGAGGGGGGATTAAAGCAGACCGTCTGACACAAAGATTATTTCTGAACAGCCCATCACTGCCGCCGGGGGCCCGGTATGAATTCAGTCGCCCAAACCCGTTGCCATCTGTGAGTGTGTGCGCGCTCCCGCGCGGCTCCCTCAGCCCCGAGCCGCCCTCGCCCTGTGCAACGTGCTCATCCGGGAATTTGCCCAGCGCGGCCCAATCCCAATCACAGGGCCGGCTGGTTCCTCCCCCTCGGCCGCCCCTACGTCCCCAGCCACAACACACCGGTGACAGACGAGCGCCCACGGTGCCATGAAGGAATAGCTGGGACTCTGGGGGGAAAGCAGACGGTGACCAGCGGGCGTCGCCGAGGACGGAACTGCGGACGGAGTTGCCAGCTCTGAGGGGAGGGGGCGGCCAGGAGAACACGCTAGAGAAACGTGAGGGCTGCCTAAGCACGTGACGCCGTCGCGACCAATCCTGGCACGGGGGTGGGGCTTAGGTGACGTGCAGCACAGTGTGCTGATGCGAGAAGTGCGCACTTGGTTGAGACAAACGGAGACGCAGGTGGCGGTGATATCTGTGCTGGACCCCTCAGCGCCTCTGCGCACACCATGTTAAGTAGACCGGTGTTCTTCTCTCATCACCACTCAGAGCCTCCACTGTACTACCCCTATCCACAGGACCGCCTAGGGTGAAGCCCCACTGCCAGCCATCTCTGTACCCTGACTCCCAATTCCTCCAGATGGATACCATGAGCTTCTTCTGGACTTAATCATCTACCATCTTTGTTCCTTCTCAGGGGCTCCTACTCTAGTGCCCCTCTCCCCTGCTGACAATACTTAGGGGAACCTTATACAAGAAAAAGGAAAACAAAAAAACCCCAGAACAATGGGGGTGAATGCTGTCCACTGGTTCAGGAAGGGACTGAGGCTCCACGACAACCCAGCTTTGAGGGAATGTATCCAAGGATCTGACAGCGTCCGCTGTGTCTATATTCTGGATCCCTGGTTTGCTGGATCTTCCAATGTGGGAATCAACAGGTGGAGGTAAGGAAACCCCTGCCCCGCTTCATGGCTTTAAAGAGAACCTGTACGGATAGAAACATGGCTGGCAAGTTACATGGTTGACCTAGTTTTCCAAAAGGGCAGGCTATGGGTTGGCATCGCCACCCTGACTCCGCTAATTGGTGAGTCAGAGATGTGGAAAAATAATGTCGGTTGGGAGGTCAGACTTTTTTTAAAACTTGTCTGATTGTGTGCTCGTTCCAGGTTAAGAGCTTCTTAGTTGATTTAAGCCAAGATGAAGGTGATGGTTGTGGAGCTTGCCCCTTTTAAATGTGACATCATGACACCTGTGGCTGCAGGTTCCCTTTAAAGCTGTGGTCATTGGTGTTTTTCAAGATTTGACCCATACAGGGTTATCTTCTAAGAAAATTGGAAAGAGCTGTGAGGTAATGCATATTGCAATAACTCCTAGCAACCTGACCCCAGTACAGAAAGTTCTGGTAGTTATGGCTTACTGATCTTTGTACTTCATTGGCTTCTAACTAAGTTATGGCCAGTTTCCGGGATGGTGTTCCTCAACCACAAGTCCATGGACCTCTGCTGGTCCTCAGACACAGCTTGAAACGTATGAATAAGAATGGTTGACAGTTTTTTGTTGTTTTTTTTTATTATTACTAAATGTACTGACATTGACTTTTCAGTCTCTAATAAGGATTACCACGCACTCCAGCATTGTTTGTTGGGCTGACGCGACTAGACACAAAGTTGATTGGTTACAACTCTTAGTGCAATACCATAGACGTAATTGGTTAAGCATAATTCTGCAAGTGTTAGCTTTGTTCTTGGGGTGGGACTGCAAAAGGTGGCGCTTCATGTTTTAGATGTGGCACACTGAAACCCCGTAGTTGAGTCTTGAGAACGTTCATTTGAGGTTGGTACACTGGGACCCAAAGTCAAACCCCAAGAACCTTATTTATGGTTGGCACATTGGGACCTAAAGTCAAATCTCAAGAACCCTATTAGGGTTGGCACACTGGGACCCAAAGTCAATCCCCAAGAACCTTATTCACAATCTGAAGGTTATGGAAACATTGGAATTCCAATGAAGAAAGAGCTGAGCTGATTGTTATTTGTAGCAAAGTTAAAAATGAAAAGCAATATTTTGAGTGCAACCAGTTGTTAGTGGTGCTTCTATCTTTTATACATCAGTCTACATATTCATCAATTTTCAGATTATATCATTTTCAGTATTTATATAATGTAGTTTATGATAGGCAGTAGATGGCTTAATAAATAACTTAACCTATATAGGCCATTGAAATAATCCATTGACTGCAGTAAGAAGCTCTGACTTCATGTTTTAAAAACTCGGGACTTCCTTGCCAGTCATATTGACCGTAGGCGTGTGCTTTCTGGCACCGTTGCTGTTTCCAAACCAATGGATTCACCAAGTGTGCATATAGTCATCAAAGCGCTGCTTGCTTGCTTGCTCTGAATCATAACCCTTCTAACAGCAGCCAGCCATGGCAAAGATCCACCTCCTAGAAGAAAACGGCAACAGCTAAGTATCTTTGGGATTGGAAGCCCAAGCGTACTTTTACATATCTGGCAGTTGTAAGCATATGCAGTTGGCATCAAGTAAATGTTAGAGCAAGATAGATTGCAGCAACACCGCTCCCCCCTCCCCTACAGCTGCAGAATGTGACGTGTAGGAAGAGCCATTCCGAGTTATGTAAAAGTGTATAACATGCTTTTGTGCTCTTGCTTTTGTTACCCACTCAAGTCTACAAATGTGCTGAGCTATGTGTTGTCCAAAACAGAATCTTTTAGCAGTTGCTACTGCAGTCTCAGCTCAGGATATGTTAGTTCAAGACGTGTTTAAAGGGGACAGGCACGGGGCTAACTCTTCATGTGGTTATAGTTTAAGGGTGTAACAGGAAAATAATTAAAGATAACCGTATAATGAAACCTTTCAGGGTGTATGGTTTACCGGTTGAGATATTGGGTTGTAAGCTTCGATGTAGCAGGGACAGATGCAAAGAATTCATGGTTGGATGTAAAGCATGACCATTATATAAATGGATCTGCTGGCTTGCTGTGAGTCCAGGATGATCATTGTGTAACATCCGGTGTTTCCACAATGACGCTCTAGTATAATGTTGCATTTATAGTAAAGTTGCTTTTGAACTAGTCAACTTGGGCACCTCTGGAAAGCCTTTTATTGATCGTATTCTCAGATGAGATATACTTGATGCAAGCTCAATCTGTGTCAAGGTCAGAGCATTGCACTTTTTTTCCCCCAGTGGTAACTGGTTTCACTTCTCAAGAGAAGTATTCAGCCAATTTAAACAGACATTCTAAAAAAGTTATACCTGTTTCTTGAGATGTGATTATTAATGGATTGCAGGGTTTACCATATACCGGGCTTGAAAAATTTGATGGTGTCTCATCAGTCAGTCAAAAATGTCACCAGTCAGCATGACCGGACTATAGCCTTGCAATTTATGTTAAAATTTTTTGGGGACAGATAGAGCTTTCTTTTGGAGGTATATAATCACCACTGGGGGGTGTTTTTTCATTCAAAAATGTACCATAAATGTAAAAAAAAAAACAGTTTCCCTACGTTATGTTATAAAACATTTATTCTTACTCATATTTTTAGTAAAACATAAAAGTCGGGGTCACGTCGGGTAAATAGACACCAAACATGGCAAGCCTTAAAATTGAGTGTGTCCGCAAAATCGCAAAAAAACGCCCATAGGCGACGATTAACCTTTTGCCGTCCGCCCGTAGTAAAAAAACGGACGGACGGCACTGCTACATCTGCGGGTTGCCGTCTCCAGATGGCAATTTTTTTCTGCTCGCGTGCGCCCCCTAGCGGGCACGCACGGGCAGAAAAGACCCGACCGTTGCGCACACCCGTTACCGGGTGTTTCACATATAGGCGATCAGCGGGACCATAGCCCGCCGATCGCCTATATGTGCTCGTTCGCGGCTCCCCTAGAGAGGGGTCCTAGAGACCCCTAATATCTCCATAAAGAGGACCTGTCAGTGTGCCTTTGCTATTATATAGGGGGTTGTTATCCCCCTATATAATAGCAATAACAATAAGTGCAAAAACATTTATATAAATAAAAAAAAATAAAAGTAACACATAAAAAAGTAAAATAAAAGTCACATATAAAAAAAAGGGGAAAAAACCCCCCCAAAATGTTTAACTCTCCCACCCCCACGTGTACGCGCCTATAAACGTAAATACGCGTCCGGTGCCCCAGCGCGCAAAAATTACAATTGCGCTACACATGTTACATATCGCCGTGAACGTCGCAGTGAGAGCAATCATTTTAGGGCCATCAATCACTGATAACACTAAACTGATGAGCGGTAACAGCTTTTAAAGCGTCGCCTATGGCCAATTTTGGGTATTATCGTTTTTTGAGGTTTCGCGCGCGCACGCAATTTTAAGGCTTGACATGTTTAGTGTCTTTTTACCCGACGTGACCCCATCTTTTATATTTTACCAAAAAATTGGGTAATAATAAATGTTTTATCATTTAATATAGGGGAAACTGTTTTTTTTTTTAAATTTCGGTAATTTTTCCTTAATATAGTAAAAAAATAAAACCCCCAGTGGTGAATAAATACCACCAAAAGAAAGCTCTATCTGTCCCCAAAAAAGGGTATAAAATTCATTTCAGTACAGCGCTGCATGACGGAATAAATGTCAGTCAAAGTACCGCAGCGCTGAATACTGAAAAATGGCCTGGATGGGAAAGGGTTTAACACCGCGGATGTCAACTGGTTAAAATGCTTTTACTGCTCATCGGTTTAGTGTTAACAGTGATTAATGGCTCTACAATTATTGCTCTCACTCCGACGTTTGCGGCGATATGTAACGTGTGGCGCATTTGTCATTTTCGCACGTAGGCGCTTCATGTACATCACTTCCTGCATTCGGGGACTGAGAGGAGATTTGTATACTACTGAACTCCCTTTGATCTCCTGTCACAGAGCCGTGCAGGCCGCATCGGGCACAGTGGTTTTTTTTTTTTTTTTTTTTTTTTTTTTTTTATAACTGGTTTTGAAACCTTTTGGCCAAGGTCAGATACATCTTGTAGACTAGGTGGCCAATGACCCTTACCAGTTCTGACCACCATACATCCTTTTTTTGTTAATGAGCAGCAAAATGTCACCAGCACTCTGGAAGAACTGGTCAAGTGAATGTCTTTTATTGGCACATATTGTCACACTGATAACGACATTTTGGGGTAACGCAGGGTTCCCTTCAGGCTCAGTATGTCATACTAAACCTGATGAAGGGACCTTGTGTGTCACCAAAATGTCACTATTAATGTGACAATATGCTTCAATAAAAGATGTTCACTTGACCTGGTCTTCCAGTGTGCTGGTGACATTTTTACTGTTCATTGGTTTCAGCGGCAACATCCGTAATCATTTCAGCACCTTTTTATAAGGGGTCTCCAGGAAGGAGTGTGGTGGGATACCGATTGGACTCCTTTGTTGTTAAGGCACATCTGTCTTGACCCTGTAATCCCGATTTTTATATAAGTTGCACTTTGCCTTGTTTATGAAACTGTTTGAGGGAAGCATGGTTCAAAAACAGCCAATCATGTTCATACCTGCAATTCAAAAACAGGTGCATGCAAACATGAATCCAATTGGGTGCTGGGTTGCCTCACAGTGCTCCCCTTATGACAGATAATCAAGGCTCACTGAGTTACTATTGGTGGTTCAATGAAATAGATTCATATAATACTATTTGACATGTTATTAAGACTGCTACAGGGAAAAATGACCCATCGCTTCTATAATTCCCCCCAAACAAAAGTCTTTACCTGTCTTAAAAGTGTTGCACTAGTTTCTTCTTATACAAAGAGATGTCTTTAGACCTGACCTGTACCACTTTACCATAAAGATGCAGTATAATGTAATAATGTCTTAATGTGATAACACTTAATGGTGGGGGTTTTGAGAATTACATGATGCAAGTCATTTTTTTTGGCTTGCTCTAGTTTTCAGCT